CACTTGATGTAGTACGAGATGTTCTGTGACATTAGTCTGTTGCAATTTTGTCACTTTCCAAATCTTACCTCAAAACGGGTGGCCAAGTATGGTTCAATTGATTGAAATACACGTCTTCAGGTGTAAGAATTTCGGCTGATTTCGTGAGTTTACGTCTCGTGAGGTTAGGTTTTGTTCCATTCCACTTGATACTCAGAACGTGTTCCAATTTTGCTTTTACCCTGCTATTTGCAATTTTGCTTTCACCACCAGAACTAGGTATCTCATAAATGCAATTTTCAATTTTTTCCGCCGCGTTGTTATTTTTTTCATTTTTGTGTTTTGTTCATCAAATTATTCCCACATTGTAGAATCCAAAAATCCCCTTAGAGTAGATGGAAAACTCTTTTTAGTACAACTGTCAAATGATTGATTTATTATTCATCATAAAACAATTTCATTTATTGGATAGTGAAGTTTGGATAATTACTTCCAACATGAGTTGGCGAAGATGTTCCACGTTGCTGCTGATTAGAAACGTCAGATATTTCTTGAAGAGTTGATTCCACAATTTTATCAGATATTTCAATTTGTTTGGAAGAAGATGGACAATGGGCTTGTTTCATGATTTTTGGTTTAAAGTTCACTTGATAGAAATTTTAAATTAAAAAACAGTGCACTTTGTTTCATCTCTCTAAGTACCGTAGTTTTCCCGTAATTAATTATTAAAAATCGAATTTGNATAAGTATATTTCATATAATTCATATAGTATTTTCAATTTTCTCTTTCATGGAATATAGCTCATGTCATTTTTGAAATTCATTCCCACTTAATCCCCTCTCCTCCCCACTCCTCCCCCACTCCCTTTCAAAAGTATAAAAGTAGGAATTATCTGTTGGAATATTCAGTTGATCAGCCACCTTCAACATGGAACCTGATTCAACTACTGAGCCGTACAGTGACCCAGCGCATCAACATCCTTACTACTGCATTTTCCTGAGAAAATGAACGATCAATTAACATTTTCTGTAATTATTCATTCATTTTTTTAAAGAATGAAGGCAGCAAACAAATAAATATACAATAATAAGATCTCTTGAATCCACGAATTAAGCATAAAAATAGACAATAATATTTGCCTTGATAACTGATGTAGTACAAGTTATATCTGAATATAATTCTAAATAGAATTAAACGAGCTGTATTTTCAAATGGTTTTCGAATGCTCATAAACCCCAATAAAATAAATCAAATATGCATTTATGCTACCCACCAAAAATAAGAAACTAAATATTACTGGTATATTAGCAATATTGTCATCCATTCATCCAGCGCCCTCTGTAGTGAATGCGACAATGTGTTCTTTCTAATGTCAACGGTTTCCACAAACTTCGTATTTTTGTTAAAATAATTTTGAAATGAATGTTGAGCCTACTTTTGTTAAAGTTGACTTCCGACAACTTACCAAAAGTCGATTTTATGATTATCGATAAATTTTATTTGAAAAATTTGCATTTGGTACCGAAATGAAGAATGAAAAATTGAAACGATAAGTGGTATATTTAGTAGGTCCCTTTTATTTTTATGACATTCATTTTAGACTTTGTCTTCTATCGAAGGATGGAAAGTTTTGATTCAATTTTCATTTTATCTCGGCCCTCTGCATTGGCCAGAAGAGTTACAGAGCTTCTCCTGAAACAGCTGGGTATTTCTCCTATTTTATTTATCCCTACATGTTGGTTGATACATTTTCCTCATGAACATTTAAAAAATAATCCAATAGGTACTTTTTGTATGAGGATGCCGTAGGGCTCTATATTTGCGGTATATTTCAATATAAGTAAACATAATTTGAAACAAAGTCATCAATAGTTATATGTAATAATTCTTCACGGCGACAAGCACCGCTGATACCCAAAATTAGGACAACCTACGAATAAAAAAATTTGAAATTACTACTAATCTTACAAAATTATATCTGTACCTCACAAAGTGAATATGTTCCGTTATCATCATCTTGAATAATCTTTTGAGATCATCCTTTGATAAAACTTCAGATTTCTCTCCTCGACATCCGAAGCTTTTGTTCTTAATGGGCGGGACCAATTTTGAAAACTTCCTTATGTCAATATTTTCTTAACATTCAATGTATTTTCCAACATTGAATAGACAGTCAATAACGTAGGAGTATTTATAATTTTTGATTTTTTCTCAAAATAGCATATAAACACACTTTCAGAAACCTTTTTTACATATTCCTTGTCGCACCCTTCACGAAATTGGTCATAGGTTTTCTCATATGCTAACTTGGATTTGGCTGGTAATATATTAGAGACTATTGCATTTGATTTCTCAGATATATCTAATGGGGTATCACTGTCACTATTATAAACTACTAGTACTATGTTGCTGATTCGCTGCTGTTTCAATGCTTTGACAGAATCAGAATCAACGAACATAGGCGTGCGCAGCGTTATAGAACAGTGCTTTCAAAACATTGTTCTACAGCGCCATCTAGTGGCGAGTTACAGAAAAATTGATAGCCTCAAAACCTTTTCTATGAAAAATTACTTATACATGTCAAGTTTCATCACGATCAGTTGAGCGATGTAGAAGTTTATCACTTACCAACCAACCAACCAACCAACAAACATCCATTTCTATCAACATCCATCTTCATGAAATTGAAGCAAAGACCACCGGATGCTGTGGAAGTAAGTATTGATAACATCAAGGATGAAAAGTATGAAAGAAAGAAGTATCATTTAGTTATTTTGACCTGCTTCTTTCAGACAGGAAAAATGTTTGAATACGATTTCACTGAAAACAGTGAATAATATTTTCAAAGCTTCAGTCATTTGTTTGAAAGCGATAACTTATCGGGAAAAAACCACGTCGAAATATATTGAAAGTATTTATTTTTAATATATTTAAGAAGATGTAAATTTACATTCACAGTTGAACTGAAAATGTTTTTTGCATTTCGTGTATAAAATTCGTGAGAATTCGGGAGAATTAACACTCTCATGTGACATCAAAAAACACTCATTTCACGCACTCAACACAAAAATAATATTTTTTGATTTGTATTCTACACTTTGCATGATCTATTATCTTTGTGAAGCGTTTCTATTGATGTATTTGAATTTTTCCTTCATTATTTGCAATTGCCTCCTCCAGAGCAAGATATCTACCTTGCAATAATTCCTAAGAAGCATCTGCATCAAGAAAAATCTAATGTATCATCAGGTGTAGCTGTCTAATAAATGCCTTCTTATAAAAATGTTGCTGCAGTCATTGAGGAGAGAAACTTTCACCTTGAACATCAGACTAGCTCAATGTCAAACAATTACCTGGAATGTCTGCAGTATGCCATCATGACTGTAGTAGTGGATATTCCACAAGATAGTCCACAGGTACGATTCCAGAGCTGCACATTCCAGCCACGCAGCTCTGAATTTTGAGAGGATCTGGAGAGCCTCTTCTGTTCAGTGGGTGTAGTCATGACGGTGTAGTCTGAAATGAGTCAAAGGAGATCTACACAAAATTATATTGCACAATTCTGATCGCAGTTCGATCACCTATCAGGCCCTCATCTGACCTGTCAATTTTCGAGTGGTTTATTATTCACAACGAAAGTCAGTTTATTTTAGCAAAGCATATACTCTGTGCCAACGTCGCCAGCATTTGGCAGAGTACAACTCTTGACAGCTGACCAGAAAGATCATCCACCATTAATTTGGTCGAGTTTGAATAGGTTTCAGCCACGATAAACTCTCCCAGGTCGTAGTTGAAAGACGAATAGACCCACTCACTTTGGAACTACCTACGTGTATAATGACGATCAAGTAGATTGATTGAGCCAGGAAGTATTCGAAGATTTGGATTGGGGAATACGAAAAAAAAAAAAAAACTCGGGGGAGCAAAGACACCAAGTCGAAAATATCAGAGCATGCAAACCAACCATCGAGTGATCTGTAGCTGGCTGGGATTATACAGTGTCACACATAAAGTCCGCATCAAATGGGATTTTTTTTGTTCATCTCTTCAAGCAACTTTTGATATCTCCATTAGGTTGTGCTTTNTTCTTTTTTAGTTGTTTCAGGAATTTCAAATCATTTTATATAGTGGACAATGGAAGTCCGAACTAGTAAAATTCATCATGAAACATTGTCAATCACCTTCAAACATATCAAAAGTTGCTTGAAGAGATGAACAAAAAAAAATCCCATTTGATGCGGACTTTATGTGTGACACTGTATATAAGAAGAGCCATGTACAAGCATAATTTATAGTCCAAATGAATTTACTATTGAAAATATTCATTGTAACAACATTTTACAGTTTGATAATGATATCACAAATGTTTGAATGATCACTGCAGTGATCAAGCTGTTAGCAATAAATAAACTACGGCTACCTATAGTAAACTTTTGTTTCGACATTTTTCCAACATACGGAAAAGATTTCTTTTTATTTTGAGGAAAAATTGAAAAATCATCTTGTGAAATTATTGGAATCCTATTAAGATGTTCGATTATTTTGCGTAACAATTTTTACAAAGGAATAGTTTTAGGTGAACGTATATGTTCAATGCATACCACAAAACAATGAGTATAGAACAGGTTAATGAATTGTTCAAAATTCAAAAGTAAGAACACAATTGAGCTTATTTTTACATCGCTCTAATATCATTGAAAAATCGAAGTAATTCAATGTTTCATCTTAATGAACCAGTCACCAATTAATATCCCCAGGGAAACATATTTGTCAGATCTATCTATGCATTATAAAAAATAATCCATACAAAGATGATTGACGTTCTTGTCCTTTCCTTATTAGAAAAAATAACTGAAATTTAAATACCACAGAAAACCAGAATCTCTGCAAAAAGCATCATATCATAAAATTGTATTACCTACTTTGAGTATTCTGAAGCAGATGTATCGATATAAAAAGATCATCAACAAAACTGTCACGTTCTCATTACAATTACTATACAAGGCTTAAATCTACTTACCGCACACTTTGATGTATCCAATATTTCCACTTCTGTCGTTACGTTGTCAAATGTTACGTTATGTCGGTAGAGGAAATCTGAAAAAAAACTCATATATTACAGTCTGTTCAAACGCAAATGCAGCTGATAAAAGAGTGGCCTTTTCAAACCTCATGTTTTTGAATACCAAAACTGTTGAGAAATAGCACATATTTCAAATTACTCTTGAAAATTTGTGAATTGAAAAAATAGAATACAGAAATTGATACAGGGTGCACTGGAAAAAATTGGTTCAAAATTACACAATCATTACATGTTATTAATATTTTATGAACTTTATTATCGAACATNAGGAAGTTTATTCTACGTGAACACAGTTCTCCAAACAGAAGAGTTTTGGAGCTGTGTAGTTCGAGGTGTACTGAGGTGAATACTTTCCGTGAAAGTATCTATTGAAGAGAGACACATCTCCAACTTTTCTTCGATGATCCAAACTATCAAGGTTGCAAGTGATGTTCGCGTCTACAATCAGGTTCTTTTCTGGATGGAATCCAGCAGCTGTAGGGTATGAATATCACTGGAGTTTTTTCCCAACACCAAACCGTTGTTTTAAAACCTCGACAAGTGTTTCGATCATCAAATGATCATCTTCAAAAGGAAGATTACGATGTATTTAGAAAAGAAAACAATCACATGCAGGTATATTCTTGATAGTTCACATCACTGTAGACATCACAAACGTGCTGGGCTGAATTATCAAGTGCATAGTCTCTTGACTTTTCCTCTCACATATTAGAGATTCACAAAAGACAAACATATAATACAGGAAAATAGCAGCCAGTAACCGTTTATTGAGGGGTATTGTAGATCATATAATGAGGAAGAAAAAGTTTAGGCTGAGAGTGAACGAAATCTTGACTTTTAAAAACGACGAAAAGCAAGTTAAATATATCTCAGTTGGCTTTTTGAACAAGTTATACACTACAGAGCGTTTAGAAAATTCAAAAGTCAAAGTCGAGATTTCGGAAAAGTCTGGAATTTACAAAATTAAATATAAGGACTGCGATGCAAAATTTCATGGACAGACAAAAATATCTATTAAAATGAGATACAAGAAACACTTAGCACACCGTGAATATGGAAGACTAGAAAAATCAGCAGTCGCCCATCATATTTTGCATTGATTTTAGTTCATTAAGATAAGTTAAACAAGTTAACAACAAGAGGCATCTAGATGTCTATGAGAGTGTAGAAATAGGTAAATATAATAATATTATGAATAACGATGGTGGACCAATGCCTAATAGTATACTATATAGCTTGACTATTACATAAGGACACTGTAAAATCAATTCAAGACTAGTAGATAAGGCAATATTGTGAAATTAATTTAAGACACTTAAAACACAGGTACCTAAAAGAGGTACCTATGGTATAAATGTATCTATGGTATATTAAGTTTGATCTTGAAGATGATCACTTGGTGTTCGAAACACGTGTCGAGGTGTTAAAATAACGGTTTGATGTTGGGAAAAACTCCAGTAATATTCATTACTATACCAAAGGTTCCAAACAGTTCATCACAAGCTTAAGGGTATGCTTAGAGGCGGAGCTCCATACATGAGAACAATACTTCAAGAATGGTCTGATCTGAACTTTAAAAAGTAGCAAAAGTTGCTGAGGTGATCCAAGTTATCCAAGTTTCTGAGAAGCAGCCTTTACATTTCCAGCGACATGATTGCGCCAAGACATATTGGTGTCCATTTTAACCCACAACAAACTTATCGAAGCAGATAGCGGAATTGTCTGTGGTTTCATTATTACACCCGATTCGGATATAATAATTTGTAATATATTTCGTATTCTCATATTTTAGAAGAGGTGAAATTTTTGATACTTGTTCACGTTACTTCATTATTCACAATAATGTTCCATCATATTTTGTAAAAAACTCTCATACTCCGATGCACGACGGGGGTCTATTAGTTTCNGATTATTTTAACAATAAAGCCAAAAAGCATGGTTGTTGCATTTGTCAGTTTTTTTTTGTGTTTATTATCAAAAGTAAAAATATTGTTTCGTCAAGTTATTGAAAATACCTTAAAAAACTTTTTGAAAATATCTAAAAATTTGAGTTGGTCCTAATAGACCACCCTCGTGTATGGATGGGTGTTAGTCTGGCTGCGGTCGTCCATCGGAGTGTTTCAAGCATATCCCAGAGCTCCTCTGTTTATATTCAGTGTTTGAGTTCTATGCCATTAATGTCGAGATATCCTTGAGAGACTATTCAGTTCATATCGTGTCGTGCCACTTGCTGGAATATTAATGTACGTGCCTGACCAGCAACAATCAAATCCTTAAACAAGCTGCAGTGTTCAATTTTTTCAATACCAAAGGCAAAAAAATATACTAATAATTATATAGCTGTGGCGTTATATACCGCCACATATCGTAATTTAATTAATATTTCAACAATTAGAAACGACAGATTTATGAGCACATTAAGTAGTGTTATTTGATATATTTGAATGCTGATATTCTTGCGTCGTATCGTTCGTTCAACGACTGCTGTTCTATGTTAATTGATATTTTTATTTGTTATTTTCATTATTCTTTTATTCTGAAAACTTTGTTGATACAGTGATTACTGCAATTAGCTATAATAAAATGGTGCAATATATTTCCTGCATGGTCATGATCCATAAAAATTAGTAGAAGTCAGAAAAACATGAATGAGTCTGTATGTGATTAGGTACACACTAAGGGTACACTTGAATTTCCAATGGTAAGTCATTTCAATGTTACACAATTTTTTATTTATCTATTTATTTATTTATTCTCATACAGGTGTAACCTAACTACATGAGAAAATCGTTATAGATGTATCGTATATTCATAGCCAGTATACAATAAAAGAAACTGAAGCTATACCTATGTAATAAGGAAAAAAAAATAAAAAAGTAACTAATCCAAAAATATGACAGAAAAGCTATTNATTACAATATTTTACTGATTCGGTATCACGAGTTTTTCTAATAATCGCATCTGTAGCGAATATTTCAATATACAGATGGTTAATATCCTCATCTAAAATCGGAAAGTCTGACTTCGATACATAAATACAAAATGCATTCTCCTGTGTGACTAATACAAGGTCTAATTTACGGTTATTGATATTATTAATTTCATTACAGTTCTCAAAACCATTAATTTGCAGGAAATCCAAAAAAAATTATGTTTCTCATCCTAATTTTCGTGTTCTAGATTCAATGAGTTAAAGTCATATACGTTTCTCTCGTCAGATATTGTTTTTTCGAAATATTCCAAGTAATTCTTGAAATCTTCAGAACTCAATTTAGATGATAGGTAAACAGCAAATAAAGTGATTGTATGTCATTTTTTGAATTTCATTTTAACCCAGAGCGTCTCATATGTACCATCTTTCATTCCCCAGTTCAAGACCTTGAAGTCTCTATTCACCCCAATAATTACCCCACCCCCTTTCTTTTCCTGATAATTGTGAGTTATCTTTCCAAATTTATTAATTCTTAATCAAAAAATGAATCATTCAGCCAAGTTTCTGTGCCAATGATTATGTCATACATTTCCCATTCAATACTCATTTTCAAGTCTCTCAACTTTGTTCTCGAACCCCTAAAGTTTTGGTAGTAACATTTAATATAACATATAACATTTAATACAGGTGAGCAGCATTATAAAGGTGAGAAAAATACATTAAAAATCTTTCTATATATGGCTTGAATAGAGAAGTAAACCGTGTTCATAAAAATGAAGAAGGATTCTTAACCATCAAATGCTTTCTATATCTCTCTATTTCCATATATTGGACTTTTTGATTCGATATACATTAAATATGCCAATCCTTCTTCAAATTCACGCATTACAGATTTCATGTGATTTTTTCAAATAAAAATGAACCTGTCCAAGGATTTTCCTATATGTCCTGGATGTCTTATTATTTATACCTGCTAGGTCACGAATACAACTTTTGAGTTCAACTCTTCTCAACAAGCTTCTCACTAGAAGTGAGTTAGACGATACCTGTTTCAAAGACATTTCCTATAAGGTCGGTCAAAAACACAAACCCCATTTATTAAATGATAGTAATTTTTGAGTATGAACCGTTTTCAAATTCAGGTTTCATCTAGTTGATTTTTTGACATGAAAGTTATGGATGTACCGAAGACATTTTGGCAGTCGGCATGGGAGCTCTTCATCGTAATACATAGCTGGCTATGGTTTGAATTTGATCAATAGATATATCACTTTCACAAACTACACTTGATGATTTGATCTCCACAAACTTTATTTTGAAAAATCTAGTGAATAACATACTAAAAATATACCCCTTCACTCTTTGAACAAGATTCCTATAGCTGGGATTTATTCAAATAAGCGAATGAATGTTATTTCCGTACTGTTATCGATGATATGGGTAGATTCAACCCATTCCGTAAAAAGAAGTCGTAATTTTATGAACGAATTGAGTGTTTTTTTCTTATAATGTTATTCATTTTTGCCGCCGAAGAGCCGATAAGGCAAGTGTCTTAGAGCGAAACATCGGATGTCTAGCAGTGAGGATGACAGTGTTCCAAGTAAGTGAAATTTTACTTCTTTCATTATTTATATTGTGTAGGAATCCTGTGAATGATATCTGATTCGATTTAATTACGAGTAAAAGGACAGAGACGCATAATTGTGAATGCAGGAGCAGAAAACGGATTTGTGGAAAATTCATATCTGAAATTCAAATCCAACACAAAATTGGGCGACCATCATAGCGAAATGAATTACGTCAATTACAAAAAGTGGTTGCAATAAATGTTAGTATCCAATCTTACAGAAAAAAGCGTTTTGACAATGCCCCATACCATAATGTTCAGTATGAAAAGTGCCCATTACTAAAATCCATAAACCACCATTCGAATTGTATGAAATTGATAGGATTATCATGGAAAATCATGGAATCATAAATTGAAGTCCACATTTTTATCGGTGATGCCCATACTCATCCAGATTTGAACCCAATATATTCAGTATGGGCATCACTAAAACAATATGTGACTGATAAAAATGT